AAAGCTGGAAGTGGCGCTGTGGCTCAAGTGGTAGAGCGCTAGCCTTGAGCTGAAGAGCTGAGGGACAGCGCCCAGGCCCAGAGTTCAGGCCCCACGACCAACAACAACAAAAAAAAACAAACCTCGACACAAACTCTGTGGATGCTTACTAAATAAATATCTTTGCAAATAAACATTTCTTTCTTTTCTTCCCTCCCTCCCTCCCTCCCTCCTTCTCGTCCCTCCTTCACTCCCTTCCTTCCTTCCCTCTTTTCTTTTCTTGTGCTGGTACTGGGGCTTGAACTCAAGTCCTGGGCGCTGTCTCTGAGTTTTTTTTGCTCAAGGCTAGTGCTCAGCCACTTGAGCCACAGCTTCACTTCTGGCTTTTTGGTGTTTGGAGGTAAGTGTCTCAGAGATTTTTCCTGCCTGGACTAGCTTTTTTTTTTTTTTTGTCAGTCGTGGGGCTTGAACTCTGGGCTTAAGCACTGTCCCTCAGCTCTTCAGCTCAAGGTGAGCGCTCTACCACTTGAGCTACAGTGCCACTTCCGGTTTTCTGAGTGTTTACTGGAGATAAGTGTTTCATGGACTTTCCTGCCTGGGCTGGCTTTGAACCAAGATCCTCAGATCTCAGCCTCCTGAGTAGCTAGGATTACAGGCGTGAGCCACTTGTGCCTGGCTTTAGCCCACACTTCTTACCTCAAGTGCACACCCTGTACATCTAGACTAACATGGCCAATAGTATTCTGATGCTTGACCTTTGTCTTCCTTTCTAGTCTTTTTATTTATTTTTTTGCCGGTCATGGGGCCTGAACTCTGGGCCTGGGCGCTGTCCCTCAGCTCTTCAGCTCAAGGCTAGCGCTCTCCCACTGGAGCCACAGCACCACTTCTGGCTTTTTCTGTTTATGTGGTGCTGAGGAATCGAACCCAGGGCCTCATGCTTGCAAGGCATGCACTCTACCGCTGAGCTACCTTCCAAGCCCTCTAGTCTTTTTATTATCATCATTATTTTTATATTAATATTAGGAGCTCGGACTCAGGGCTTTGAACTTGCTAGCTAGTACTCTACCTACCATCTGAGCCATGCTCTTAATCCTTCTATCTACTCCTTCTTACAGCTGAGATTACAGTTTGTACCACCACACCTAGCCAGTCTTTTGTCTCTTGGTAGCCTCCCTCACAAAGCTCAGTTCATCCTACATTCATCTGAAATAGAAACCTGAGTCACCTATGACTTCTTCTGTAGCATCCTACCTTCCACTTCTGACTTGACCTTGGATGTGTCCCTTTTCACTCTCACTGCTTTGGTCCTCCTATCCTGGGTACCAGAGCCAACACAAACCTCTGTTTTATGGCCTGCTGACACTCGATGCTGCGTGATGCCTCCTTATTATGCACAGTGGCCCCAACTTTCCTCTCGAGGTGGAGAAACACGTACAAGGTCACATGGCTACTGAAAACAGCGTCCACTCCACTGAGTGCACTGAACACAGGTCTAATGGCTCCCAACCCTGGGATGCTAATTATTGTGCTGTCTGCCAGTACTGGGGCTTAAACTCCCCAGCGGAAGTGAGAAGTGGGAGGGAGCCAATCACTTGGAGCCAATCACTTGGAGCCAATCCTGCGCCCTCCCCCCGCCCCTCCCCCGCATCCTCCCCTCCTCCCACCCCGCCTGGACCCCTGCTCATTTCCCCCATTCCACTCGCGGCGCCACCACCCACCTCGCCGGCAGAGCCTCACCCGCTCCCACCTGTTACTCCCATGCTGACAGGGGGAGTCTGTGTCTGGGTGGCCGGGAGTGGGCTGGTGGTTGCTCCCCCTCCACCTCCAGTGCGCTTTTTGGCGGAGGGGGTAGGGGACGGAGAAGATACAGGGGGCGCAGGCGCCTGTGATGTCGCCATCTCTGTGACGTTTCCCGGGACCCGCAGACTGAAAAGTGCGTGGTTTTCCCAGTGGGTGGAGGCGGCCAATGGCGCTGTTCCCAGGTTGCGGGAGGCCTGGGGCAGCTGGGCTTCTGCAGCTGGCAGATCGCGAGGAGGGTGAGCACGGGTCCCTGGAATGTAACGGGGCACATGGCCTCTGCTCTTCCTTATGTGGGTGCAGAGCAGGCTCGATTGAACCCAAGCTGTGCAGAATGCACACACACTTGTGCGTGCATAGCTTTAAAAAGGAGCCAGATCAGACAAGGCATCCTGTGCAATGGCACCTCTTCTCCTTCAGGCTTTGCTCCACGACCAAGGAACTCACTTCAGAATCCCAACCCTATGCAGATAAGCAAATGCACAGCAAGAGCTTAGACGCACACTGCTGTTAGGTGGTTTTTGTTGTTGTTTTGTGCCACTCTACCACTTGAGCCAGGGCTTCGCTTCTTTTTGGTGGTTAATTGGAGGTAAGAATCTCATTGATTTTCCTGCTCTGGCTGGCTCTGAACCACAACTTCAGCTCTCAGTCTCCTCAGTAGCTAGGTACACGTGTGAGCTACTGGTATGGGGCTGTCAGTTCTTTTGAATCAAGCATTGGGTGGGTGGGTGGAGGGTGAAAATGGAGGCTTGCGTTATACCTACCTTGGTATCTGGTCAGTGCTCAGGCCACTTGACTTCCTTCTTAGTGGTACTGGGTTGTCTGCCTTGGTAAAGTACATAAAGTATGTAGCCTTGGCATCTCCCCCCTGCTAACTTCCCTTTTGCCACTGAGTGATGGATGTCTACCCAAAGGTAGAACTGGAAATACTGGCAGGAGGAGCCATGTTAAGACAGTCCTTGCCCCAAACAAGGGCGGGGAAGGGGGGGGGGACTTGCAGAAGGCTAAGGAAGGCAGCTGTCAAGAGTCCAGTGAGCAGACAGGCAAGCGAGGAGACATCTAAAGAGGCCCAGAAACATGTCATCACTGCAAATTTTATTGCTTAAGAGCTCTGTACAGTTGAAGGCTGCAGCACCAAGGCTGTGTTTTTTTTTGTGTGTGTGTTGGGGCCAGGGTCTCTTCCTGGAGCAGCTTGGATCCATGGGAAACGCTGAATAGAGGCCACCTTGGCTAGACATCCTAATGTCCCTTCCCCCAATAATTCACAGTTGATTTAATGCTACATGAGTTCTAAGCAGCTCCCCCTAAGAGAACAGGCTGGGCTGGGACCATAGGGTAGGGGTAAGGAGAGGCTCATATTAACTCCATGGGGCTTCAGAGGTCAGGCACATGGGGATGGGTGAGGACTGTATCCTTTCACCCATCTCCTGGCCTGCTTGTGCCCTCCCAGAGGGCATCCAGGAAAGTGCTTGGAGGTTATCAGTGTGCAAAGTGCTGCTGGCTGTGCCCTGCATCCAGAAAGCTGGCATGTTGAGATCGACAGCATGGCCTGGGAGCAGTAGCACTGACATCTGCCTCCTTCATCAATTATCGTGTCTCTTTTTTGTTGTTGTTGTTGTTGGTTGTGGGGCTTGAACTCTGGGCCTGGGCACTGTCCCTGAGCTCTTCAGCTCAAGGCTAGTGCTCTACCACTTGAGCCACAGTGCCACTTCCTATCATGCCTCATACACAGGCCATTCCTGTCAGGTGGCTCCCCCATGACTTTTCATTTTCATGGATAAAGGAGTTGAGTGCCAGCTAGGTGGGCTGGATGCTAGGTCTGCTAGACCCAGGGTAGATGTGGTGGCCAGCAGCAAGGGAGACACATGCTTGGGGGCTGCGAACAAATTTACTTCAGTACCTTCTCTGGTCCTTGGCTAAACTAGAGTTCAACTCAGGACCTGTGCTGTGACAGCTTAAAGGGGGTGTATTCTATCAAGGAGCCTACTCAGTGTCAGCCATTCCTTATGAGTCATCCACTGGAGGTTGATGGCTAGGGCACCAGGTATGGGGTTAGAGGACCCACTAACCCCAGGGTGGGCACATTTGCTGCTTTGCAGCTCTACCACTTGGGTGTGAACCTTTAAGACTCTCCTACCTGCCTGGGCTCTGAGAGGCTGAGGGGCTCATCAATCCCCTGCAGACCTAGGCTGGAAGTGATTCCCCCAGCTATGGGCAAGTGACCATTGATTCAACTTGTTTGGAGCAGCTCAAAGAACCCCCTCTCTGCTCCTGGGACTCCTGGGGGAAGCTCCTCCTGCTTACTGCATCTCCTCACGCAGGTGGATTATTCTCTTGGCAAGAGCTTGCAGGACTCAGGTGGAAGTCCTAGGAGGCGGTTCATGGCCCCTCATATCAGCTCTGTTTTCACCATTGAGCCCAGGGACAGCAGATCCCCTGCGTCTCAGGGCAGCAGTGAGCACCAAGAAGGAAGGCTGCTCTGGGTAGAGTGGAGCCAGTTGTGGAAAGCAGGGCTAGGGTCTCTTCTCTAGCTGGCCATGTTTGATCCTCCAGTTCCAGGCAAAGCTGCAGTCAGGGGCCAGGGTGCACTGCAGGTCAATGCCGGAGTCTGGTACCTCCATGTCATAGCGAACAGGCTGTCCATCTTTGGTCACCAAGCTGAAGGCTGTGGCCGGAATCTGAGGGATGAGCATACCAATGGTCTGAGATGATGGCATGGGATTCAGAAGCTACTTAGAAGCATAAAGCTGTTGGCGTATATCTCCTTCCAGCCAGCCAGGCAACCCTAAGGCACTGTCTTTCCTTCTGGAAGAGTAGGCCCAGTGTGGGTCCTGAGGAACCTCAACCACCAGGGCCCATTTTGCTTTGATACCCCTCAGGGAACACTTGAGGCCATGTCTAGCTATTCCTTAGGGTCCTACTTCTACTTATTTGAAAGTTCTCCTCCTGGAGGGCCAGGACTCTGCCTCTAAGTGTGTACTTGTCCACTTACCTGGCTGCTGATGCCAGTGGCGATGTCTCCCACCTTGACACGGTGGAATTCCCGGATGTGCAGGTGTTCACCATTGAGAGACTGTATTTGGACTTTGACACCTAGAAGGTAGGCAAGGTGACAGGAGGCTGTTGGCTCCCTGAGCTGAAGTGGCCTTTGGCTTGGGCCATGGAGGCTGTGAGCTAAATGATACCTTCATTCTGGTAAAATCACAATATAAACTATACAACTAAGCTTCAAAATGAAGAATTTTACATGGCATATCTTTTTTTATCAACTGACCTCAAATCCCAGGAGAGGATGTAACAAACTTGTTGCCCAAACTTGTAAGGCACCAGTGGCTCATGCCTATAATCTTAGCTACTCAGGAAGCTGAGATCTAAGGACTGTGGTTCAAAGCCAGCCTGGGCAGGAAAGTCTGTGAGATTTCTATCTCCAGTTAAGTAACAAAAGCACCAGAAATGGAGCTGTGGCTCAAGTGGTAGAGTGTCAGTTTTGAACCTGGGACAGCACCCAGGCCCTGAGTTCAAGCCCCAGGACACACAAAATAAATACTTGTGGGTCCTGGTCCTGTCTTTCAGAAGACATCCATTTCAGCTTCCTTCTCAACCCCAGGAGTGGCTGCTCTCCTCCCCAGGCTGGGGACTTTCTGAACCTCCTCAGCAGCCAGTGAGGGGAAATAAGTTCTCTACTGGCCTACCAGGAAAGGCTTGTGAGCCAAGAACCTCATGTTCTGGGTGCTAGGCATCTTTTCCCCTCTCCCTCAGTGTCAAGGCAGGCCTTGAACTCTGCCCTGCACCAGGGCCCCCCATCTGGTATGTATGGGTCCTTGGATGGCAGGGAGGAAGTTTGCCGTACCATTAAAGTAGCTCGGGGTGTCAGTGGGCCGCCCCCGGGCCAGCACCATGCTACAGCTTGAGCTTCGAGCCTCTGCCTGGCTGTTCCATGAGTGCACGCCGGAACTCAAGGTGTCCTGAGAATTCTGAGAGGCCTTAGATGGGTTCTGAACACAAGAGTGGACACAGACTCAGGTCCCTGTGCTCAGGGCTTGGTTTCCTTTGGGGCAAAGGGGCCCTCTCCCACACCCTCTGGAGGTGAGACAGTTCTGAAGTCCTAGGCCGCAGGAGGGCAAGTATATTTCTATGGGGACCAAAACCTACCCTTTGCCAATCCTAGTGGCTTAGCCCTTTCCTGATTCCTAGGTGTGATGGAGATGAACTGTCTGTCACGAAATCATGACCTTGTGCTCCAGTGAGGATCTCCTCCCTTCCCCTCTCCTCCCTCTCCCCCTCCTACTTGTACACAGCTCATTCCTCAGCTGGATATAAAACCACCTGCTCTGTCAGGACTTCTGGCCCCTGAATGACTCACCTTCTCACTGTCCTCTGATAGGGAGAGGCTGTCAATGCTGAGACATGAGAGGATTTGCTCCTGTTCCTCCAGAGAAAAAGGCTGGGACAAGCTGTTCAGAAATAATTCTGCAGGGAAAAGCAAAAGAGAGCTGTGAGAGGCTAGGAGGAGGCACCATGTTGTTAGGGGGAAGGTCTTTCTGCACAGACTACAGGAGCTGATCTGCCAGGGAAGGGGTTGGAAGCAAAGTCAGGCTGAAGTAGGGCATAAGAAGCCCAGCTTTGCTGCTATACCTGTTTCTAGCTGCTGCAGCTCCAGCTCAGAGCAGGTCGCTCTCCGCTCAAGTGTGCTGGGGCCCTTGGCAGGGGCAGGGTCTAAGGAGGATAGAGGCAAGGGTTCCCATGTGCCAGACTCCTCTTTACTCAAGTTCCACTCTGGAGGCTCTGGTGGTAGAGGAGGCTGAGGCTTAGAGGCCCAGCCTGTGGGGTCCTCCATTGGTAGGCGCTCCGCTGACTGGGTATTCAGGAACTGGTGATGGTTAGCCTGGCTTGAAGGTGGATGTCTTGGTTCTTTATATTCTCCTCTCCAAGGGCTCTTCAGACCTCCCACTGTTAAGACAAGAGAGCATACCAGGGAAGGTGCAAATGTGCCAGCTTGATGTGCCAGGTCTCCTTCTGTAGTTTCCTGATTTCTCTCAGCACTACATTATGGCCTTCAGATCAGTAGTCATTGCTCCATGAGTGCTGAGTGTCTTTAAGT